CAAGTTAATTACATGTAATGCCGAAATGATAATAATAATAATAATAATTATTATTATTATTACCTGTACGTTAAGGGGAACTTAGACAAAGGGGAAATAACACAAAAGATATTCCCCTTGGGCTAGTTATTATTTATAGGCCTAGTATTATAGTATCTGTATGTTCTTCATTTCAAGCCTTAGGCCAAAGGTAATTAATGCTGAAATGATGATTATTATTATTATTATTACCTGTACCTTAAGGGGAACTTAGACAATGGAGGAATTAGAGAACAATTAAAAAAACGACGTTAAGGGGAAATAACACAAAAGATATTCCCCTTGGGCGATTATTATTTATAGGCCTAGTAAATAGTACAGTATATGTAGGTTCTTCATTACAAGGCTTAGGCAAAAGGTAATTAATGCTGAAATTATTATTATTATTATTATTTTTTTTTTTTAACATTAATTACATTACAATGATAGTTTGGACAAGTTCAATAACGCCGGAATGGTATAGTATTTATTTAATAATATTTCTCTTATGCGCTCTATTTTTCATTTCATGCTTCAATTTTGTCCCATTTTCCCCCCTAAAATTTCAGTCCATGTCAGTATGTGAAGCGTGACTGTTGTGTCAGCCTATGACCCTAGGCCTAGTTTAAGGGGCCTAGGTAAGACCTCAGCCTGTAGTTAGGCCTATAGTAATCCTCTTTCTCTCTAGCCTTTGGTATAACTGTACCTATCTACACTTTATAACAGGAGGTACTAGCTGTTGTTGTTGTAGATAATATACTAACATTTAATAACATCCAAGAAGCTCACAGTTAGCTACACCACATCTAGATGTAGCTGGTCACAGTTAGTTACACAGTGACGTACATCACATAAGTCAGTGAAATTTCATAGGCCTACCGTAGGTAAACATAGAAAGAGCAATAATAGTAAAACTCGAGCGTCACGAAATTGCGAAGTGTCTGCTCTTGTTCCTCGTATCGTACTCACTCGAGTCAATCCGAGATGGCCCGAGTGAAGTTTCATGCAAATGTTTCGTACGGGAAAAAAAATCGCCAGCCGGTGTAGTCGGGCGCACACATGGTTTGGGATGTTACTCCGCGAAATATAGTTTCGTAATTGGAAGGCCTGCTACCAGTTCGTTCGATGTTGTTTTGTTGTTACTTTTTTGTTGTTGTTGTCAAAACAAGAAACATTCCTTGTAGAATTATATATTTTTTATATATCTTATAGATTAAATTAACCAATTAACTCAATTGTTGCACTTTATTAATTCCACGTTTAAAATTTAATCTTTAAATATTCATTTATATACAATTCAATTTTTA